GAGAAAATGACGGGCATGGGGGGATAAACTGGCCGGCCGGCTGCGGGGGCCTGCCCAGGAGGAGGGCACTGCCGTTTCCATGGCCCGGGAATAGGAAGCTACGGGCTGGGAGATACTTAGTTTCCCTCTGTTACTTTGTTTCTCGGCCGGGTGTAGCAAATACACACCCTGCGTTCAACAGAAAAGTGTTTGCAAAATGATCAATAGATCCTGGTGTTCCTCAGTGTGTGTGAGTGGCACCGGTAGCAAGGAGCCCAGCACAGGAAGGTGGTGATGCACACATGGCTTCCACAAGGGATACCTGCAGTCTTCCTGATCTGGTGGTAATAAAAGCATAATAATAGTTTTAAAGAATCACACTTTGTTTTATTCAGTGATACAAGGCATTGACCTTTTCACAGTCGAAAGCAGATTGGTACTTCAAAACTGTAACTGACTTTTTTTGTGCAATGTTGGCAAACAGATGCATGGTATCTGTTCAGATGAAATGACGTAATGTTTCAGGGTTTTGTGTTTGGGTAGTTTTCTTAATACCTCTCTGCTATTTTTTTTTCTTTGTTTCAGGGTAACCAACCAAAGAAGTTATGAATATCATCTGTGGTCTAAAGTTGTCGGGCAGGAACTGTATTTTCTTTCGTTTGGCTTCTTTGACCAAGCAGGGAAAGTGCAATAATCTTTTTAGGTCTTACGCAGGATGTTGTCAAACTCAAGTCAGTTGTTCACTAGATAGATGCCAAAGGCTGGATTTGAGTGGAAATACTAGAAACTGTTTTTTGACTGGAAATCCTGACTCTTATAGAAGTTTCATCAGTAAAGGACTGAGGTGTCTCTTCAATATCCCAAATACAGAAGTGTACAAGAATGCACACCACAGTTCGGGAACGTTTTGCTTGCAGTCTTCTCGGCTGCTGGAGAAGAAGATCGCGTCCCTCCAGACCAGTTCTGTGGGACAACTCCCACATCATTTTTGTGCTTGGAACATTCAGATCATCAGGTCTTTTCACACATCACCATCATTTCAGGCTGCACCAGTTCCTCTTTTCTGGATTATTGTTAAGCCAGCTCAGAAGTTGTTTGCTATCATTCTCGGCAGGTAAAATACTTTCTTACTTCCTCTCTAGAGGAAGAGAATATGGATAATACAGCAAGGGCAGACACTAACAGATTATTTCTTAACTATGTGCTAACTCCGTTTGTATCTTACAGGAGCATAAGAAAATGGTGGAAGGCGCTTCCTCCTAATAAACGGGAGCTTTTTAAAGAAAGTGCAAGAAAAAATAAATGGAAGATACTTCTGGGTGTCAGTAGCTTAGGAGTTTTATTTATTGTGTTTTATTTTACTCACTTGGTGGAGACACCCATCACTGGGCGCACTCGACTGTTGGTGTTTGGAAAAGAACATTTTAAGGAACTGTCACAATTGGAATATAATATGGTAAGATTTTGAGGAAAAATTAAAAGTACTCTAAAACTGTTAATGCTCTTTTTTAGTGATGAGATGGTCCAGTTAATGAGATGGGCAAAGAAACGTTGTGGTGTCCTTGATAAGTTCTGAGCTTCGTGCCCCGGACCCTGCAGAGCGTGCCCTGCCCATCAGTTACCCCCTCCTCTTGTCTCTGTCCTTTTTAAGAGTTCTCTTTCTGTCTGCAAGCCACTCAGGGCACGTGATAGTTAAAGAGTACATTGCATGTGTGTAGCAAACTTTTCTACCTGTGTTACTGTAATATAACAAGAAATACAGAAGTCTGGTAGAAGCAATAAATGCATAGCTAATAGGTATATGCTGAGATCTGTCTCATTATCCGTGCTGAGCATCCTTTGGCACTTGTTTAAAGTCCTCCCTTCTAAGCTGTCACTTTGTAAGGTAATACTCTCCACCTGCATTCAGTTCTGCTTCTTTTTTTCTTTTTTCATTGGATCAGCTCATTTTTCTTTAATTGCTTTCTTTCAAACTGTCCATTGCACTAATTTCTGTACCTTTGAGTTCGTGACTTTTTCTGGTCTAAAGCCAGTGAAACTTGATAATCCATTTGCAAATGACATTGTATTCCTGTCTGACAGAGTATGTGAGTTAAGGACAGAAGCACAGGGATATATTCAAATTACATCTTTTGTATAAATCTGTTCGCCTTACAAACTATGACAGAAATACACAGATGCAGAAAAATTATAAATTCAGGTGCAAATTAAGCAGGCTATAGACAGGTTTGCCAAATTGTGATTCCAAACTTCACAGTGCATTAGGAAAATACCAGATACAGGAGGCTGTAGGACCAAGTTTATACTGTCTTTGATCTGTGGTTGTTTGCTTCCTTTTAAGTTAATCCTTAACTTGTGGGCCTGAAAGCCTGAACTCTGATGTATTGGTGTTGGCTATATGGAAGAAAAATGTATTAAAACTTAGATTTAACTAAGTTGTGTGTCGCCACTAAATTAGTTTACCAATTAATCATTTACTGCGTGTTTGTTCTGCATGGCAATCAATGACTTTAATTTTTTTTTTTCAGTGGATGGAGGAATTCAAAAGTAAAATGTTACCCGAGACAGATGCGCGCTATCAGGTTGTGGAAAGAGTTGTTGGCCATTTATCTGAAAGCAATAAGGACATCCCCCAAGTCTCAGCACTCAAGTGGGTTATCCACGTGGTAGATGAACCAGGTGTAAATGCTTTTGTGCTTCCTGTAAGTTGAACCCAATACAAAAATTATTAGTTATATTGAAACGGTATTTTATTTCTGTGTCTTCTGCTTAATTTGCACTCTGTTTACAGAATGGCGAAGTGTTTGTTTTCACTGGATTGCTAAACGCAGTTTCTGATATTCATCAGCTGTCTTTCATTTTGGGACATGAAATAGCTCACGCTGTGCTGGAACATGCAGTAAGTATTTAAAGAAAGCTGCCTAGAATTCTTAAAGCAATTCTGATCACTTCAGTTAAGATTTTTCCTATCACTACCAACTAAAGTTTCACTGTGACTCTTTCTAAAAGAAAAACTGAGTTTGAAATGTGAGTATTCTACTACAGTATATCCTTATTACTCATGTCATACTTGGTAACTGTCAGAAGTCCTGTAGTAGTCAGTGTTGGCACAAAGTCTGCCAGAGCTTTTTCCATAGCCGTACAGATGGATTATGGCTCCCCATTAACAGTCATTTACAAGTTGGTCTGCAGATGCCTCTCCTCCTATAGCACAGACATAAAGAACTGGAGGCACTCAGCAACGCAGTTACTCCTGCGCTTGTTAATATCTACAGAAGTGGATGTACTTTAATAAATTAATCTAAAATATGTGATGTTTTAGCACACAGTTTTAGAATGCCAAATTCTAGAATGCCTGGAGCTTGATCCTGCATTTACAGGTAATTGCTTTCAGACTTAATTTTTCCATGTCTTCATGTGGGTGTGTTGAAATTGGTAGTTCTTTGCAATTTGAACAGAATGGATGTAATAATTTTGGTGTGCTTTGTATGTACAACTATGGAAAAAGGATAGTACAGAAATATGGTTCATATTGCTCTAGATTGAGGTGATTCGCTAGAAAGTGCTTCTTTGCCTCCAAACTGGTTTCTTCCTGTGTGTGTCACTTTAAAAATTGTATTCATTAGCTGTCCATCAGTTTGAAAAGACATAATAAGAAGCTTGTAAACATAAAGATCCTTCTAAAATTGCAAAATTAATCTGGGAATGGGTAAATCCATTTTAAAGGAGAATTGCTTTACTACATCTTGTGTGATT